TCTCTCACTGTCCCTCCTCTCCCCCCGGCTCCCCTCTCCAACCATCTTGTTGACCCACCCGCTTCCCCCTCGCATACTACCAGGGCTCCAAAGGAGAGTTAGGGATCCCAGGGATGCCTGGCATGCCTGGTCGACTGGGGCGACAGGGCCCCCTGGGGCCTCAGGGAACCCCCGGGGAGAAGGGAGACACGGTGTTCAACGGCCGCCCTGGCCCTAGAGGGTACCCCGGCTTACCAGGTCCTTCGGGGCCCAGAGTGAGTGAATAGTCGAAGAGAGACAACTCTTGAATTACTTTTTGAGCATTGCTACTTTTTCTTAGTTATTTCCCTTTACTCTGATAGGCATGACTTGATTGTTTCCCCTTGCTGCTTCGATTTCTCTCTTGTCCAGTTGGACAATTTACTTCCCTTCATTTCTAGCTGCCCAATATCTCTACATAATGATATCTAGGTTTTATTATGTTAATTTTCTTGCATCGTAGAGAACAATTCGGCACTAATATAATCAAAGGTAATAAGATCAAAGTCACTGTTAATGAGATCAAAGTCACATGACAAGTCAGAGCAAAGGACTTTCGCGCAGTTAGCTCATCGTACCAGCAAGAAAATTGTTCTGATTCCCTCCCCTAACCCGCGCCTCTGTCACCATATAAGGACACAGAAGCCCCGCCCCTTTCACGAGGAGCGAAGGTCACGTGGTGTGGTCAGTGGAAGGGCTCGTGCATGTGATTGATGATTCCCTGTACACTCCTCTAACCGTCACAATAATCCCCTGTCTGTCTGTCTGTCCGTTTGTTTGTGTGTTCGTCTGTGTGTCCCTCTCGCATGTTCTCTGGCACAACGGCAAATGACCTGTCCTGTTTGGTGCATTCTCATCGAAGCTCTGGTCACCGTGTACTAAACCACTCATCAAAGAAAACAACAATTATACTGTGATCATGATTATTATTACCCTATATCGTATGGAACCTTTACCATATATTTTGTACACATGTGTGCTGGTGTGAGTTTATTTTTTAACCCTTGCATCATTCACTTTGTATATCGACCAGTGCATCGTACGCTTTGTATTCGATATAATATTATTATTATCATCGTCTTTCTCTTTTTCAAAACCATGGGCTCTTTTAAACACTGTTGGTTATTCTGTATACTCTTGGGACTACAGTAAAGAATATAGTGTCCCAAGGACTTTATTAAATCCATGGCTTATCGAACAGCACCTACCTGTCTTAATTTCCAGAAAATCAAAATACTTGCGATCTCAAATTCAGTGTCGTTTGTTTCAACTAGAAACTGACACATTTTTATGACTTACCTCCCTTACCCCGTGCTCTCTGGTCAGGACTCTTGTTCTGATAGTTCCCAACTGCTAGAACTGTCTTGTTCCTGTAATATGTTGAAAGTAAAATGTTGAAACTTTATGAGAGCTTACGATGAACTTCAACCTGGACAATTAACTTTGCATCGAAAACTTTCCCTGGGGAGAGTGAAAGGACTAAGTACAAAAAATTGAAGTCCCACTTTGGACAATATGCGTCACGTCCGTACTTTTTCCAAAGATTGAGCAGACACACTGGAGTTGACTGACAGGCTAAAGGATTAACAAGTCATGGAATCCCCTCTTTGAAAGAGACACCTAACTATAAATGATTGATTGTAAATTTTATTACTTTTTGAAACTCTCAAGACAAACAGACAACCCCTTGAAAGGCCACTTACATAAATAAGGATTGACTGCCTCCCTCTGCCATGATTCCGTTTTAATGTCGGCCAGTTCCCTTCTCTCATCGCCGTGTACCGGTATGCTGGTCAGGCTAATTTCCTTTACCTGGGTCATTTTCCCCCTTGTCCATGTGTTTGGTAATTGACCAAATTAGTGCCTTGCCAGAAGTAAGTTTCAAAACTTAAGTCAGTGCAAGGATTATGTTGAAACAGTGACAAATTACATCGAAAGGGTTGTCAATTTTTATCAGAAAACACAATTCTTTTGTGGAACAGGGGTGGTTCTCGTTGTTTCTTTAAAGAGTTCGATGACGGACCTGTCCTAGAAAACTCACATTTCAGCTCCCAGAAATACAGATTATCCTAATATATAAGTTAACTATTCATAGAGATGCCGGTTATGACAGGTGTGAGCTGTTTCAACAACCAAGTATGTGTGAGCGTTGCTTGAACTACATCACATTATAAATGTACAATGTGTTTTATGTAACCGTTTGCGGTGTGTTATATGGATGTTCTGTTACTACAGGTTGTAGTAAGATGTAATGCTGCAGTTGTCTACATTTTACGTACGTGATAAGATTGTGTGTGGGTGAGTGGGTGAAATCCTGACTAGGGGGTAGGTTGTAAGTTCTGAAGGAATACAGAAGAAGGAAGCCTGTATTTCTTTTGGATCACAAACATCGATGTGAGCAGCCAAGACAGCTGCCAGACTACAGTCAGACGATGAACAGATGGAATAACCCTGGCATCTGCTGTCCGTCTAGTCAGGATCACGGAGTTGCCATATCGCCTCACTCTCTATCTGTGAGGTTAACGTTTCTAGTCTAGTCAGGATGACGATGTCGCCATTTATCGCAGCCCGCTCTATCTCTGTCTAGTCAGGGTGCCAGTTTTTGCCATATCGCCACACTCTCTAACTCTGCGAGGCTAACGGTTCTGTCCCCAGGGTCGTAAAGGCGCCAAAGGACAGCGCGGGCTGGGCTATGAGGCTGGCGGGGACTTCCCCACTGGTTTCATCCAGGGTCCGCCGGGTTTGCCAGGAGCCCCGGGTCGCCCAGGGAGGAAGGTGAGACGGTCAGGGCCAGACTGACCGCCAACTGTCGCCTCACGCCACCTGCTTCTGTGAACGCGTCGTGTTTTTGTTGCGTGACTACTGCTGTGTCAAACCTATGAGTCGTTGATTTAGCGCAGACATTACTGATGTGTGTCCATGCCCCCGCTGTGTGGAGTCGGAGTAAGAACTTGGGATACACGAGCGAGCTTCTGAACGTTTTGTTCGGAATACTTTGGAGTAGGGCCAATTTCCGAGGACACTAACAACCTGAAACTAATAAGAAAATTAGGTCTATCAAAAACAATGAACCATCTTCGGAAGAAAATTAAGTTACAGGTTTTGTATGTTCCCATCCATATAGGGGGGTTTGCTCTACTTAATTGAAAACCATTAATTTTTGTCTTAACTAGTAACTCAGTGTCCTATTGAACTATTAGACTTGCAATATCTCAAAGATGGAGTCCTCTTTTTTGGATTGACTGATGTATCCTAAGTTCGTACTTTTGCTTTCGCATATTATTATTATTACCCAGAGCTTTTGCTGCAGTCACAGTGCTTTTGAAGCTTGAATCTGTAAAGACCTGAGAAGATTTGTTTATATCTTTTCGTAAAACTGTATCAATGAAAATATTGTCCAATAATGTTAAATGACCCCTGCTTAATTTGCTCTCTCACTCTGCTTGCTGACTGCAGCAAGGGTTCCCACTAACCTGCTTGCTATAACACCAAGTGTCGAGCTGGCAAACCACGGGGATGTCGCCATGATTGTCTACTTTGGGAAACGTTTCTCTACAGCACTTGTCCGTCTTTATCCAACTTCTCGCTCAAAAGAGTTCTCAAACGAAAGCAACCGCGAACAGGGCACTTGTGACTGCAGCAACGGTTTTCTTTGTCGTCCAAACATCAGTGACGCCATCTTAACCTTCTCTTGCCTTTCAGAAAACTGTGTGGTGATTGCCTCTGGTCAAGAAGGATAGCTCTGTCTTTTTCTGTCTTGTTTTCTTGCCAGTCAACGACGGTGCGACCAATTTGTGAATTTGTGGTGAAATACTGAACATACAAGTGGCCATACAAAGTCTGTGTTTCAGACCATTTTTTTAAATATCGTGGTTTTAAATCCTCTGTGGTCGATTCTAGTTCTTTCAGGAATTGTCAGGAACCGTTCTGGTAAGAATTTCAATACTCCAGGTTTCAATTTTTGACTGAGTGTCCGAAGTGTTTGGATTGAGAAACGAAAATAAAATATTTAAAGTGGCCTTCACCTTTGTCTTCGCCTATTCTGAAGTCAAGCTGACCGTTGAGGCACCACAGCAGATTTGGCAACCAGCTTGCTCCGCTCCTTTCGGTTCTCAGTTTTCTGTAATAAGATGTTGCAGTCACGGACAGTCCATTCTTCGATGTTGTTCTCAACACTAGAAGTAACGGTTGTCAGCTCTTTGATGTTTGTCCTCTGTAGTTAAAATAACGGTTGTCCACCCTTGTCTCTCACCAAGCGGCGTCGCACGTGCATCGTGGAGGTGAAGGACATCAGTACCATAAAGAGGAAGAAGTCACGTCGATCTCAGCGAAACCTCCAAGACTGCAGGGTGGTCTGGGAGGTATACTTCCGTCATTTCACTTCTTGTGTCGTGTCGCTTTCTCTATCTATGGAACATGTGTGTACAGTACTCTCTTCCTCAGTCGGCATGTCAGTTTTGTGGGTTTTTATTTTTTGATACTTGGAATACTGCCCCAGAATGTTTAAAAATTAAAGCAAACTTAAACAAGGCTATTCAAAATTTGCAGTTAGATAATGAGACCTAAATTGCTTTTGAAAAAAATAAACTGATTCTAGTCTGTGGCGTGAAGCTTTCCTTTACAACAAACTGACGAAAGCTAGTTCTAACGCTCGTAGTCCACTTGGCACGACAATTATGTAACGTTTCAGAGTCCCCACTTTGTGGGTGTTTCCCCTCGACGTGAAAATCTTTTCAGCTGTATTTAAATGACTATGAATGTCTGGGCTTGCCCATGTAAGATATTTGCCCATACAGTTCCTTAAATGCTTGTGAAAATACAGTAAAAGTAAGAAAGTTCTATAAGATGATATTACATTTAATCCTAAGTTCGTTTAAGGTTTAACGTTGTAGTATAGAATATTATCTTGACACGTACAATCTATTTTATTCGAAAGCTGTACTAGAAAAAGAAGCAGCAAAAAGAAAAAGAAGACTAACCACCAAATAAATAAACAAACAAAACCAAAGTAAGCCAAAAAATAACTCGGAAGGACGTCTTTATTCTGAGACTTTTGCCAGTTCGATATTTGTTCGCTGTGTGTAGCATTCCTTTAGCCACCCACTGTGCTTTCTCTGTTGTCTGTTCACCGTCTTGTTTACATTTTTGTTATTGTTCGTAGAACCGTCAGGATTGAGTTTCATGGTTTCTCATTTCTCCAGGCACCTTTGGGCAGGAACAGACCATGATCTACCTT